AATTGTAACTTTTTTCACTTTTCATCGAGCGCTCACCAAATCTCCATAATTTTGCAGCATATTTTGCAAATAAATTGTGGGGAGTATTAAGGTAAAATAAAAGTGTTATTGTCAATAAATTTTCTTGTGTTATTAATGTATTATTGTTATCGAGTGAAGTAGAGGTTTTCTTTAATTACGCCTGGAGCTGAAATATGGCAACGAAATGGGAATAATGAAACCGGGGAAAAACTGGTTTTTGGAAGGAAGGCTGCGGTAAAGAAGTTATCAGATTTAATTTAGCGATTTTGTACTTTACTAGATATAAGAACAGAAATACTCTCATTACCTAAGTATTGTGTAATTAGAATATAAAATTTCCATTTTCCCAACAATAAAATCAAAAACAAAAGTGAAGTGAAAGTGAGAAAATGTATCGAAGTTATAAAAAGCTTGACTAGTCAAAAATATAATAGTAATTTGGAAAATTATAGAAATTAATCTGGAAACCATGAAATTTCGATGGATTATTAAGGAATTTTTAAAGTTTTTTTGGAATTACTGGAATTTCGGTGGAATTTCTTTGAAATTATTGTAAATTCTCGAATTAATCTGAAAATTATGAAACTACGATAGATTCTTGAGGAATTTTTGCAATTTTTTGGGATTACTGGAATTTTGGTGGAATTTTTTTGGAATTGTTTGTAATGTAAATTCAATATATGTGTTCGTACTCTATTTATTTATGATTGAAAAAACACATTAATAATTTTTGAAAAATTTGTGAATATATGCAAAAAAATCAAAAATAGTGTAATTCAAACTGCTTAAATTTAGTGAGTTTTGAAATCAAATCGGAAAAACACAATTTAGACTAAATTTTGCATTTTGTGTCTTGTTTTGAGACAATTTTGTTACTTCAGTACGATACTCTGTAAAAAAAACACTCTAAATTTAGAAAAATAGTTAAAAACATTTAACAAAAATCTTGCTCAAAATTGGTTCAAATTTAATTTAGCAATTTTATACTTTATTAGATACAAAAA